TATTGTTGCAAATAGGAATTATGTGCTCGTAAATTTTATCGTTCTTGATATAGATTGCAATCCTTCATGTCCTATTATTCTTGGTAGACCTTTTCTTAGAACGATTGGTGCAATTGTTGATATGAAGGAAAGAAATATTAAATTCCAATTTCCGTTAAGGAAAGGCATGGAACACTTTTCTAAAAAGAAAATTAAATTACCTTATGAATCTATTATGAGAGCGACTTATGGATTGCCTAACAAATATGACAATAACTAGATCTATCCTTACTTTTTATGCCCAGCTAAGGGCGTTAAACGATAGCGCTTGTTGGGAGGCAACCTAATTTTATTTTTATTCCTTACTTAGGTATTACACAAAACATGAAATTTCCAACAGCGACCGCATTGGTTTTGCAGACCGTCAAAAACCTGCTGCTCTGCCTTGCCGCCGTGTTCTCCGTCGCCTTGCTTCACCTCCTCATACTCGAGGTTGCGGTTCCTCTCGTGGAGCAGGCCATCACATTCACACCAAACCATATGGAGGAAAGGTTGCACCAGGTGGAGATCACCAGCATTGGGTTGTCGAGCTTCCAGACTCCACATGACGACGCGACGCCCTTGCGCTTCAACCTCACCGCATGCGTCATCAGCCGCCACCAGCTGCACGAGATGTGCGTGACTGACTGGGAGGCTGACGTCTAGCTCGACAGGATACCCCTTGACAAGGCCTACTTCCCCAAGACCTGCCTGGAGAAGATGACCCAAGCGGCGGCAACGGCAACGACGTCGACCGACTTGGTCGGGCTACTAAGCATGACCAACGGGACGTTACCAGGGATGCTTCAGGTCGAGATGACACAGGCTACCAGTTTGCTGTAGTATGATGATGATCGTGGGACAACAATCGGTGAAACAATGTACCACTGGCTGTGGTGCAAGGCCACGTTGGGTGGCCAATCACACCAGTCTCCGCAGAACGACGCCAAACCCTGCCACATCTACCATTTGAATCGCGTGCCCCCCGCGTGGCGGCCGGCTGGCTCCCAGATCCCATCGCCGCTGGTCTCCACATCTCCTCCTCCTCCTCCCTCGCCGCCGCCCAAGGGCACGGCCAGGCGAAGCCTTGCCGTTGCCGGCGGCGGCAGGGACTCGTGGTCCTCCCGCTTGTGGGGCTGGAGCGGGCTGGCGCCCCCGGGCCGGAGCGTGGCGTCGGGCCGGACGCCACAGCGGGTGGTGGCGGTGCTTCGGCGGTTCTCTTCCCCCGCGACAGGCGGCTTCATGGTCTGGTGCATCGCGGCCGCCAGGGACGGCGGCGGCGTGACCAGATGGGTTCGCGGCGGCACGGGCGGATCTAGGTCTAGTGGGCCTTGGTCACTGGATTGCCGTCGGCACGTTGGTGGGTGCGGCTCGTCGGCAGCTGGGCGGATCCGTAGAGATTCTTCCCTTGTCTGGTCCTTGACAGCACGGGCAACTCCAGGGGAAACCCTAGATCTCCTTGGGATCGATGGCAGTGCTTTTGCGTCATAACCCCTCTTCAGGGCATCGTTTTGGAGCTTACCCTGGTTGAAGGGATCAACGACGCTGGCGGCGCACGTCTGGTGGAGCAACTGCCGATGAAAATCGCGTCGACTACGGTCATGGCGGACGATGGCAGCGTCTTAGATGCCGTTCCCTTGTCGAGGCATCGTCGTTGCTGTTTGCTTCATCAGGCTCGGGCTGCTCCGAGGAAAACCCTAGATCCGGGTCTCCCGGATCGGACGATGATGGCGTTCTTAATAGCGCTTTCCCTCACGGGGCATCGTTTTGGAGCAAGTGATGGATGGAGGTGACAAGAGGAGGAGCGGTGCTTCATCACACACATTGATGGTGTCGGATCTGGATGGCACGGCGCTATGAAGATTAGGCGTCTGATATGCGATGATGGACTCGCGCAGGAGGTCGATGCTGTCTGGCGTCGTGGTGGCGTTGGCGGCAGCTAGACCGGGCAAGGTTCATGCAACAGTACAGCTTTGAAGATGGATTGGTGGCAGGTGGCTGCGACGGCCTCATACCCGGCAGGCGTCCTGGTTGAGGAGCTCGCCGGACTAGTGGGTGCCCATACCCGGCAGACGTCCTGGTTGGGACCTCAGGTCTTAGATGTTAGGTATGGCTGCGAGGTCTGTTTGGTATTAGGCCCAGACTATCAGCATCCCTTCATTATTTGGATAGGAGTAGCGACACTTTTATTGCCTAGACGGTGGCTTCGACTTACTTTTGTATGACTTTATAAGTTCTTATATGAATAATTAATAAAGTGGCTGGTCCAGATGCAGAGGCTGTGGGTCCTCCTCCCATTCTAAAAAAAATAAAAAAAATTGACTCAGCAAGAGACTAGTGATAGAAGGTTCCTTTTTCCTCCGAAAACGCAGTGATATGAGTTTGATATATATGGTGGCCCTCTAGCGGACTAGTTTTTTTTCTTGAGGATCACTATACCTCCATAATTATTGCATATTGGCACTTGATTTATTAATAAGGGTGTATTCCTACTTAGGAACAGAATGTTCGCCTTGTATCAAGCTGCAAAAGCAAAGTAAGGTTCTGGCCGGTACCAGCCGATCTGCTTTCGCTCCGTCTTCGTCCATGCATGATCGTAGGTACTCCTCCATAAACTAAAGTAGTGATCTAAACATTTTTATATTAGTTTACAGAGAGAGTAGTACTTACGAGCCACCACCCGGTTTAGTCTGTGCAAACCTCCTCTAGCAGGTACATTCAGGACGCCATCGACCGATGGTCAATCATGATCGTGAATCGGCCTACGCACCCCTCAACCCTCACACCACAATCTCTGACGCCCGTCGCCACCACGGCAGCAACTCAACGCCGCCGTGTAACATAGCAACTCGACCCCGCCCCACCTTGGCCGCCAGTGTAAAAATGGAACTGGAAATTTGTATTTAGTAAAAACTAGCACCAATATTCTCCTTCAGTGTACCACTAAGTTATGTACATATGCCCAGGGTATAATATCGTGTGGTGAGTATATGCTGAGATGAATAGGGACAGGAGATATTTGTTTTGAGCTCCCCAACAATCTATCAGTTTCATCTTCAATTTGCTTACGCGCAAGAGCTGCAGAAAACAAATGTCAACAGCAAGTACACAATAAGTATCTGATGAACTTAAGTTGCTTCCCAATATTGAAAATACTGAAGCTATTCCTAATTCATTTCAGGCGATCATATTTTTCTAAAGGATGAGGTGTACGATGTTTCATACATGTGGCCATATGCAAATCAGCCTGAACACAAACGAATATACTTGAACTGGTAGCACCAGACGCAGGTTGGTCAAACATCCGTTTAAATTTGGCAATCCCAACATCAACACCCACTCATTAAATCTTTGATGGAAAAGTACAAAAACACCCTCCCCCGCCCCCCATTGCAACTGCTTTATTCTTGTGGAGTAGACATCACAATCTTCTGATCGTCTATGCCTAGGAGAAAGTGTGTGAAGTACCATATATGGTGCAAAATACGATGATATGTACCACAGTTTCCTTCACCCCGGGCGTCCCCGAGCGCGCCGGATTCGGCCTCGGTCCGTCGACGCCATTTTCGGCCTTAAACGGCGAAATTTGGACTCCTGAG